CGTAGTCCTCCACTCGAATATGGGCATCTGGAAGCGCAAATTTAGAATTTGTTTTATTATCTATTTCATATTTTGTAAAACTTGACAAATTTTTTATTAGAAAATTCAACGATTTAAAAGCGAGCAATGACACACTGTACGGGGGGGGATTATCTCCAGGGCGCGAAACTGCGTACCGAAAATTTTAAAGATACGTTTTTTAAAAATATGATATTGCTGTTGAATTGAATTTAATGGTTTAAGTGCGAAGAACATGATATTTAATAATTAAGGTAACAGAAAACGATGGAAAAACGTCCCTTTGGGCGTAATATAAAATCTGAAAGCTTTTAGACTTCTTTTTAACTTATTGTTGTTTTTTTGTCAACTACTTCTTTATTCAGCTTTTTCAATGACAGATACCTATACCTTATCTTTATTTTCCGTTGTGAGTACTATCTTAAAACTGTCCCAATTTGAGCACAAAATATTATGGTAAGCCTACCTATAATGGAAAACACACTATTTTTTCTCTCCAACATTTAGACATGACATAAATGAACTGATTTAGAATACTTTGATTACTGGCTGTTTTAGTTAGGAAAATCAGGCAATTTTTAATTCCTTGCTATTGCTTTATCAGCTTGCCAGCCAAAGAAGAGAAAAGAAACGCGTAAATTACAATATGAAAACCAGCTTTGGTCTCTTTTATGCCATTGCTTAACTTAAGTTTCAGTTCGCAAGATTTTTAGCATTATTATTGGTTGAAGCTTTAAGCAAGTACTTGCGTCATCAGCGTTATATAACAATCAAAGAATTAATTTTGAAATGAGGCATTTTAGATACATACAGTGTGTCAAAAAAGTGATGGGACACTTGTGCTTTACAAAAGGAAACTGCAATAAAATAAATTTAAAAGACATGTAAAATTTTTTGTGGGTGTGTTCATACTTAAATTTAGTAACAATTATTACATAAAATACAATTTCTCAAAATATTAATTTAGGATTTCCTTTACTTTAAAACATTGATTTAATCTTCTTGGGATGGATTCGACTAATTTTTTTGTGATTTCTGGAGTGATTTTACCCCATTCTTCTTGAAGCACCGATTTTAATTGTTGTTTTGAAGAAATGGTGTGTTTGAGAATTCTTGATTCCAATTCTTGCCAAATATTCTCTATGGGATTTAATTGTGGAGATTGTGAGGGGGTTTTAATTATTTCAGGACAGTATACAGCAGCCAGAGTCTAACGTTCAAAGCACTGTGCTTCGGGTCATTGTCCTGGTAGAATTTAAAATTGTTATGAAGGTTCAATTTTCGTGCTGAAGATTTCAAATTTTGATTTAAAATGTCAATATACTTGTACTGATCCATTATTACTGTCAATCAATAAAAACAAGATTACCAACTCCAGCGGACGACATACACCCCCATACCATAACTCCTCCTCCACCATGTTTTACTGTTGGCACCAAGTTCTGTTATCGAAATTCTTCCCTGGGTTTTCTCCACACCAAGATTCTACCGTCAGAACCAAATATATTAAATTTACTCTCATTAGCAAATATAACTTCATTCCAGTAATCAGAATTCTTATTTATGTTGGATTTTGCGAAAGCCAGTCTGAGTTTTCTCTTCTTTTCACTTACGAAGAATTTTTTCCTGGCTGCTCTACTGTGATATCCAGTAGATCGAATTACTCTTCTAATAGTTTCAGAATTAACAATTACTCCATATAATGCTTTTAAATCAGCAGCAACTTTAGGAGCACTCATTCTTGGATTTTTTTTTTAAATATTTCGAACGATAATTCGCTTTATTCCATTGGATAGCTTTGATGGTCAGCCAGGTCTTCTTTTATCCTGAATCATACGATACTTTTTATATCGTTTAATGATATTGAAAACTGTTGAATGACTGATTAGAGAAATTTTTGGTTGATTAGAGAAATGATTAGAGAATGATCATTATTCAGTAGTTTCTCTAATGGATTTTCCACGTTCAATATGCAAATTAATAACTAATTTTCGAATTCCAGGCAAAGTTTTCGAGCGAACGAATTTCCAGGCGAACGAAATTCTTTTCGTTTCGCATTCATGGCTGCACAGAGCTAAAAAACACAAAAATTCCAAAACAAACTGGAGAGAAATACTGCAGACGATTTTATAAATTTTTGGCAATTGCTTTTGAGTAAAAATAAATACCCCAAAAGATATTTTTATTGCTTACTTCAGACAATTTTTTTTTTTTCATAGTACGTAGTGTCCCATCACTTAAGTGAGCCATTTTTCTGCTCCGTTCTAAACAATTGTATTTTCTATTAAATTAATATTTTAATATTTTGAGAAAATGTGTGGTTATGTAATAATTGTTACTAAATTTAAGTACGAAACACACCCACAAAAAAAATTTACATTTTTTAAAATTTATTTTATTGCAGTTTCCTTTTGTAAAGCACAAGTGCCCCATCACTTTTTTGAGACACTGTATATGATAAGTATGTTCCTAATTTTAGGATAGAACGAAAAAAAAAAAAAAAAATTAACAGGAGACATGTGAATGTTGTTTTATACTTGTATTTTTTAACTTACTTCTATATATAAAAGATAAATGTACGTATAATTCATATGTATTAATAACATATGTAAATTACACAATATTTTTTACACGGTATTTTATGTTTTTTTATACACAGTATTTTATATTTTTTATGGAAGAATTAAGATATTTATGTGAAATTCCTTTTTTTCCCCGTTTTATACAACTTTTGTGTTAGAAATAAGTTTATTTCATCACGTGAAGAAGCCACTGTAGCTCTGGGTTTACATTTCTTCATAGTAGCTTATCATGCTTATAATGTGACACATAATTTTAATGAAGAATTTCAGATCACAAAAGATTCAATGAATGCAAACAAACTACAAAAAAAAAAAAAAAAAAAAAAAAAAAAAGAATTTATAACATTTTTTATCTCGTACACATATCTCTAATAATAAAAATGACTTAGTTTACGTCTGCAGAAAACTCGTTGGCGGTATTTCAGTTATGCTCCTCAAATCTCATTCGACGCGAAATGGGAAAATTTTAGAATATAAATGAATAAAAGGAACATTGTTTTCAGAACAATATACTGTGAAATTGAAATATAAAACGACTACATTCTTAAAAGAATTACAAAAACATTTTGTTGATACAAAATTTCATTGTGATATTAGATGGAATTTAGCTCATGGTGTTATACAAATAGGAACAAAAATAAAATTATTTAAAACTTGCACAATTATCGAATCCCTCCTTCTTTAAATCTGCTTATTTAAAGAGTACTTATTTTTTCCTACCGACGATCATGCATATTTTCTTTTTTCCTTGGTTTGTTCATAAGAGCTCTTTTTTAAAATGTTAAAAAAAGATATTTATTGTAAATTGCCGAAAAAGAAATAACATAACGGAAAAATCGGCTTTGACAGCATTTAGAATTTAGCTGCATGGATTGTTATTATGTTTTTTTCACTGTTTAAACAAAATTTCAAGTAAGTGACATTAGTTTTGTCTTCTAAATCCATGTAATACTTTAGAAAATAATAACAATAACAGCATTAGGGAAACAGAATATTTAATCAGTGCCGTATTTATCATATTAAACTACATTTCTGTCGTCTGATTCATACTGGTAGATATGAAAAGTACCCGTTTACCCGTTATTCTAAATATAAACCATCGTATGTATTAAAATATTTGTATGTTCATATACAATATTCGTACATCAATCGAATGATGAAAGTAAAATCGTTTCGTAATGATGAAAGTACACACAAAATACAGTGACAATTTTATGCAGCCTCTCCGAAACTGAGGTTTCAGTTTATAAATAGAATACAGTTTCAAAAACGTTGGGTTCAGATAAAAAATCCCCCAAAAATTCATCCTAACTACAATCTAAATAGTGTTGCCAGCCTAATCAGGTTTGTTCGAAATTATACATTCAGTACGTCTATATATAGTTAAAACGATTATTTGATTTTTTTTTCCTAATCCTACAGTTGTTAGCTAAACCTTTTCCCTAACTCAGTTTTGTTTACTCAGTCATAGTTTGGCATTTATAAGCTTCTCGTTCAAATTTAATGGACGGTGTACAGATACTAGTTGTAGGATCTACAAAATTGTTGCATAATTTGAAGTTAGGTGCATGTAATATCCGATTAAGAAATACATTTTTCAGTCACAAAATGCATGCAAATACTTATTTGTTTTTCGACAACCTCTTCAAGTAATTTATGGCTGGAAAACAACAACTAAATCCTACATCAAAGTCAGTGTTGAAATCCTGACTCATACTTTGAGGATAGCGTACAGGAGGCTGTTTTTCAAACTCCGCGTTCTTATTAAAATACAGCGAAGTATAAACGAAACCAAGCGATGAGTAATAAATCAAGAACATGACCATTAGACAGAATGGTTACTACACGCGGGAAATATGTTTATGAGATTGCCAACATGCCATCATTATCGCCGTTTTGGCAATGTTTACATTCTGGGGATTTTCTACGGAAATAATAAAGAATTAAATATATATAAGCATTGTTTAAGTGTGTGTGTATAAATATATATTCGAAAACGTAAATAGTATTTTACAAATATAAAAATAATCAAAATTGAAATAATACATAATCTTATATAAAGCATTATATCTTAAACTGGTAAAACTATTTTTTTAATAAATAACAATAAGCATAATAAGTAAATTTAAGCACATTATAACCCGTCAATTTTCGTGCTTCTGACTTTGATCGTTTTCTTTTTTAGTTTGTAATAGCATCATCATGGCGTTCTCAGATTCCAAGGATATTTAAAATTTCGGGGAATATTGGTAGTATACAGTTAATTTAAATTGTGCAACTCATTGCGCAGTTCCGCTTCCCTTCCCCCCCCCCACCGATTTGGCAATCATAACGAAGAATAATTCATATTGCCAACTCATGAAAACTATAGACGTCAAACGGAAAGAGTTGTTCATTGTTGAAGGTTTGTCTAGATGTTATCACCTGTTAGCAATGTTGATTGCCTAAAAATTCGTATTTTAGTTACCTCATATGCTGATACTTCTGGATCTGATGGTACGAAGAATGTAAGTAATAATTTACATTTTATGGCATATTTATTTATTTAATGGAATCTTTTATATTTAAACAAAACTCTTTATACATGACGCTCAATGTGTGCTAGAATAAAGTAGTAATCAAAATAACCTTTAAATATATATATACATATATTATTATGCATAATCAGATTTTTGAAATGAAAATGGCTGGCTAGAAAGATCTGCATTAAAACTCATCTGTAAATACGCGATGGCGGTTTTGTTTGCATTAATAATGAAAGTAAGTTTCCCAAGATTAATAAAAGTTTGCATTTGACATTGTTAGAATGTAAGGATTATCGATCTTACGTTCTTTACTCGAAACTATTTGCGTTCCTGGATAATTAACAAATGCTGTCTTGTAATTTAAAATATTAAGTAGTAGTTGATAAAAATCAGTTCACACTGTCCCAAAAGCTTTTTAAAAAATAAAATAAGCATCGTAGTTACATTATTATTATTGTAAGGTATAACTAAAATAAGATTTGTTTCTTTTTCTTTTTTACATTAGCAAGAAATGCATATATATAGGAAATATTTTTGAAGTGTTTCCCCCAAACAAAAAAAAAAAAAAAAAAAAAAAAAAAAAATTCATTTTAAAAAGCATACTTTTTTCTAAATAAATAATTTACTTGCTTCTTTCATGGTTGTCAGAAAAGGAGTTTTAATAAATTGGGCTATCTGATGCTATGCAGATTATTAAATGTTGTTCGTTAATGCTGCAGCAGAAATAAATCTAGACAGATAATTAAAAACTCATTGATTTCAATAAAGAAACTGTAAATTTTACTTAAGTGGAATATTTTGTGGTGATGTAAAATGATGATTTATCAAGAAGGTTTTTTTTAGAAAATTGACTATTTGTTATAAGTTAAACTAAATCTAATGATTGAGTTCAAAGTTATATATAGGTTGCAGCAATATTGCATTTATGAGAATGTGACTGAAAAGAAATATATATGGTAAAAATATTTATGATAAAAAGAAAATTATAAGAGGATCTTGTAAGTGTTATTTAATCATATACTTTTTTCCTTAGCATAAATATGTAAATATTTAAAATTATGTCCATTTTTTCAAAATATAACACTGCTCATTCATTTCTTTTGCCTCCATGCAGATCACTGAAAAGTTGCTCATTTCAGTTTGCAAGATATTTAAGTGTGATGCAATTGTTTCGATTAATTTTAAGATTTAACAAATTACAGTTGATTATATGATATCTTTTGAATATTGCATTGCTAGTTATAGTTTGTTGCTAGTTCAAGGTCCAATCACAATCTGATATTTTGAGCTTTTTAGTTTATTTGTTTTAAACCCAGTTCAACCCTTAATCCTTCAGTTGGCCAGGATTTTTTTAATGTGTTTAAATAAATATATATATATACATGCATTTTGAAATATTTCCAAGTAATTAATGTAATATACTAAAAGTAAATCAATTCAGATACAATGTACCAGAAGCATTTTGGCATTATAATAAAAATGTGCCCATTTCTTATGGCAGTTTTAGGAAATACAGAATTCCAGAACCAGACCCTCGGCCATGGTTAACTAATAATCTTTACTGTTTATGATGCAACTAGAAACCTGATATCTGAGACTATATTTTTCAGACGCACAAAAATATAGTAAAACCATAAAATAAATGCAAAAATCTTATAAGAATTAAATAAATTAAAACATCTCCTACATATTGAAGAGAATAAACTTATTTACACTGTTAAAGAAAATGTAGTAAAACATTACCTGAAAATATCATCTGTAAAATAAATCAAGGAAAGGTTTTCAACTTCTCCCAGGACAGTTGAAGAAACTGGAAAAAAAAAAAAAAAAAAAAAAAAAAAAAAAAATGAAAAAAAGGGGAGGGGAGAAATAAAAATTCATGTACCCATGGGGCTGTTAATGGGGATGAATTTGTAATAACAGTTTAACATACTTGAAAATGAATGTTTTAATATTTCTGCAATAAAATGCAAAACAATTAAATAACTTTCACTAAAAAATCTTATACTGTGTGGTAGAATTTTTATTCATTTTCAATTTGTTATATTATGTTTATGATGATATTGATTCTTAAATTTTGTTTCTTGCTCTTTCTGAATACATATGTTAATTTCTTATTTGTGTTGCTGTTAGGAACTGAAATTCAGTTTTGAAATCCATCCAAACTCAAAAATTTCATAGCAAGTTCAAAAACCTACACACACATATATATATAAACATACACATTTTAAAAAAGAAAGTTATTATAGGAACACAAATGAAGCTATATATAATGAAAATACTTAAATTGATTAGTAATATAGTAGTGTTATATGTGAATAAAAGTTAAATGTAAAACTGTCAAGTTAAAAAATGCTGTGGAAAAAAACCTGTTACATCTGCGGAGAATAAACCATTTCTAAAATTTGATTTACTCTTATACTACTTACACCATCATATAGTTTGCCTTGGTCAAAAGCAGTGTGTTATTTCTCACATTTGATAAGTGTGTAATGCAGTTGAAATTAAAATTCAGCAGAATTGGAGCAAATTTTCTAATGGTTAATTTATCTGGTACTATTCTGTTATCAGGACTGGATTCAGAAATGTATGTATGTGCGCACTTGTCTAAGCAAGTATGTGCATAATGTGAGCATCTATAGACACAAATGCATCCATATATACATGCATTTCTGATTTCGCTTCGATAACAGAAGAGAACCATTTATCTATCCATTTATCAACAAAATTCAAAAATAGGTTATCACCTGCAATAGCCCCTTCCCCCCCAAAAAAAAGAGTTTTGTTTTTTTGCATGGTTTTTATGATGATGTAGGCCAATTTTATAATTTAACTTTTTTCAATTTTGTTTTCTATTTTTAAATAATTTTACTATTGATATGAATAGAAATCATGAAATGTCAGAATCTGTCTGTATTTAGAAATGTGAAATAGATAATAAAAATATTTAAATTAATAATATTGTAAGTATAAATAAGAGTATAAGTCTTAATATATGAATAAAATGTAGACAAAGTAATAAAACATGAAATCATTCAAATTGTTTCTTCCATTTTGGTAGCTGACTCTAGTATTTGGCAGTTTTTTCGTGTTTCTTCACGTACTTGCAAGTCGTCAAGAATTTCGAGTATGATATTTGTTATATAAAAAAAACAGTTTAAAAATATAAACTAATAAACTAACAAAAATTTGTGACAATTTTTTACTAAATCAATAAAGTTTTTAAAAAAATCAATATCAATAAGAATTGCCAAGAGCAAAGGTAACATGTTTCAAAGTATTATTGTAAAATGGATTTTGCTCGTTAAACAAACTAGCTTTTGGCTGTGCAAGCATAAATATTTTTTCATTCAGTCGTTTGAAAGAAATGGCATTTTATTATTTTTTTTTTTTCAGTGTTAAAATTTAATTGAAGATAATTTTACTCATCGTGAACTAAAATGTAGCATCTCAGAGACTACTTATGAAAATTTACAAAGACGTGGTATGATGGAGACTATTCTGGATCTTTTATTATGAATAATTTCAAAAGAATGATAGAAACTTCATAAAAATTGTATTGCATATTTTGGTCAACTACATCAAAGACTAAGTGACTTCCCATTACTAAATTCATAATGAGATGTTAGTGGTTCAAGATGTCTTTTTGTCTCTTGCAGGAAGCAAAGAACTTTCGTTTCCTATTGTAATCTACAATCCAATAAGTATTTAAAGTTTTATTTTATTTTTTTTTTTTAATCTGAATATTTACTTTTTCCTGTTCAGTTAGCACAAGTTACTTTGAGTTTGATTTCTTTCAAGAAGCAGAGAATGATTTCTTATACATGAACATACAAGCAGCAGTATTTCAAATAAAAGTTTTGCTTTATTTGTGAAGATTTGAAAAGTTACTTTTTTCAATTTAACTAGCTTGAGTTATGGGAAGATGAAAACTCACTTGGAACCTATTATAGTCTGTGCAAACTTTTAATAAAGTTCTGCATATAAACTAATGGATTTTAAGTTTGATTTTTATTTAAAATTTTTGAATTTTAATGATTAAATTCTTACTGCTCCTCCTTTTTGGTTTTAGGTCTGGATTTGGAATTCTAGTTTCTAATGAAATGTATATAAAATATTATAAGGTATGAAAGTAATGATGAATGGCAAAAGATCCAGTATTCCACTTACGATGATAACTGACATACAGAGCTTAACCAACATCCTTGTTGAGTTACCTTTTCCTGTGCCATTGCCTTGTGCCTGTGGAAGTCAGAGCTTATTGTCCCACTTAGCTGACCAATATGAAGCTAAAAAGCTGTTGAACACAAAGGAATCTCTTATCACCCCATTGCTTATTGATGCTCTTTATAATACAACTGATGAAATTGAAATCAAAGATGAATATTGTGGTAGCTCGTATAGTGGGGAGATACCACAACTTCTTCAGTATTTACTTGTCAAAAATCCTGGCCTTTTTAAAGATTCGGTACATTTCCCACAAAATGAAAACGAAGAGCAATATATTTCTTCAGATAAGTTACCACAAATGCAGTGTACTGATATTATAGAGTACTCTGAGCAACAGATTTTTAATATAGCTGCCGTTTCATCTTGTCAGTCTTATTTAAATGAAGGTGATAATCCAAGTGACAATCCTACTAAATTTCATGCAACAATTCTACAAAACAAAATTTCAAATGTAGTGCCACCATCCAAGTCACTTGTGACATACTTTCCGAGTACACATTTAATGACATCATCTGGTAAACACTCTGCTTCTGTACCTTGTAGTATATTTCAAGAAACAAGTAAGTCCTTAGTTTTGTCCTCAGAGGAAAATCCACATATATTGAATTCTGTAGTGATTGACCAACATATTGTTAATGTATCTCTGTCATCAGTTTTTTTTGATCCACTCAATAATATGAAAAGTGCAGACTACAGTCAATTGAGTGCAATTATTTCAAAAGACAATAGAAACACTCAGAACTGTACTTTAATTCCTAATAAGGTAGTTAGTAATATAACACTAAAAAGTTCATCTTTTTTTCCTCCTTTAATTAATAATAGGTTTTTCTCAAATTCCATTTCATCTTTTCAGCATAATTCATCAAGTACCATTGATGTACCTGCTGTAGCTCATGCAGATTGCACAAAAAAGCTAGTTCCAGAACAGTGGCATCATGTTCCAAATCACTTTTCTAATAATTATCAGTCTGACTTCTGTACAATGGAAGATGCAAGCAAAGAAACACAAATGAACACAGAAAAATTATCTGTATCTGAAGCACATAGTAAAAATCAAAGGAAAGATCCAAATAAAAGTATTGCTACCTCAGAAGAACAGTGCAAATCTGAAACAGAACCTACAGTTATGCTTTATAAACTTAACATGCAAGATCAATTTCTTTCTCATAAAAGTATAAAGGTGTCTACCATAAAAAGTAAATGTGCAGGGGATGTAAAAGAAAAAAGATGCCTCGCTGATCCTGTTGTGTTGTTAACAAAGCTCAATACTGAAGAACTGCTTTTAGCTCAGGAAAGTATAAACAAATTTATGTTAAAATACGAAACAAAAGCTGCCAAACTACCAGTATACCATGGAACTTCAGAAATTAAAAGTTGTCAAGTGTCACTATCAGGCAGAAAATCATATGTTACTGACAAGATACGTAAAAAATATAGAAATAATGTGCATCATCCTGTTGAAAATAATTCTGAAATTATTGAAAACAAAAGCATTAAAAGAAAGATCAGTGCTTCAGAAGGTGAAGTTATTAATCATTCTAGCTTGCTTCACGAACGAATAAAAAGAAAGAGGTGTCCTGTTAGTCGAGAAACAAACTGTAATGAGCTTTCTCTTTCTAAAATTGAAAATGATCCAGTTTTTTTAACATTGAAAGTGAAGAAATTTAAGAAAGCAAAGAAAAGACTAATAAATAAAACCTTAAGTACTGAAGATTTAATAAAAACAAATACATGGCAATATTTCTCTGATACTGTAGACAAAATCTTCAGTTCTGTTGAAGACATTGATTTGTTTGCTGTTACAGATGAAGATGCCAAATGCCCTGAAGAAATACTTATATCTATAGATCAGCTGCGGGATTTAAGCAGAGGAGCTGCAAAATTGAAGTACTTGCAAGCAATGAACCAATTTCAACCAGAATATTTAATTCATCTACTTGTTCTGCTTGAAAAAAATGTTACTGATGGTGCAAAATTACTTATTCTGCAATTCCTTGAAGAACAAGATGAAGAAACACAGTTATACTTAGAGTTAAGTAAGGAAAAACTGATGAGAAGTGTTCACGCTTCATTAACTGCTTTGTACATTTTGACATCTCCAAAAATGCCTGCAGAGATTTTCTTAGAAAACACTATTGAAAGGATTGTCATGTTTTTAAAATATCAGCTTCAGAATACAGTTTTTCCACTGTTTGATCCATCTTATGGATTTGATACTAAGTCTACTGAAAGTTACATAGGAAATACAAAACAAAAAGGGAATCATAAAAAAATTGTATTACCCTTATATAACAAATTACTTGAAGTAGTAAGTCTTTTAGCTGAGTTACTGGATTTACAAACACTAACGGATACTGTTATTTTAGATATATCATCTTTAGGACTCAGCTCATTTTTTGTTGAAAGTGTAAATGAATTGCAATTAATTTCTCTTCGTTTGATTTCAACTATTTTTTCACATTATGATGAGCATAGGCTATTTATTTTACAGGATATCCTTGCATCAATAGTGAAGTTACCAACTAGTAAGAGAAACCTGCGAAATTATCGCTTGAACTCGGAAGAAAATATTCAAATGCTTACTGCTTTAGTGCTGCAACTAATTCATAGTGTTATACAATTACCTGAATCTGAAACAGATGAAAAACTCGAATATTCCAGTAATAAAATAAAATCTAATGGAAAACATAAGTCTCATCTGGATAAAGATTTTATAATTATCACATCTTATGAAGCATCAATAAAAACAGCAATAAATTTTCTGTCTTTCTTCTTAAAAAAATGCAGCACAAAAAACAAAGAAACCGATTATCGATCTTTATTTGACAACTTTGTTCAGGATTTATTAATCACTGCCAATAGACCAGAATGGCCAGCTTCAGAACTTTTGCTTTCTATTTTAGGAAGAATTCTTATGAAAAATTTTAGCAATAAATCTATGGAAATGACAGTGAGAATTGCATCTCTGGATTATCTTGGAATCATAGCTGCACATTTACGTAAAAATGATATTATTAGTCGTGAACATACAGCTATCATAAATGATATTATACAGAGAGTAACTGTTGAGAGTGATTCAGAACTAAGCCCTTTGAAAGAAAAAAAGCAAAATCAAGAAAAATCTATTAAATGTAATGAAGTTCAAGTGTTACAAAAGCTTTTGCTCTACTACCTTGATTCCAGTATGAAAAGTGATCCTGCATATCAGTTTTACCGAAGATTTTACATTGCTCAGTGGTATAATGATACCTCATTGGCTGCTGAAATTAAATATTCTAATAAATCTTTAAATTTATTAAAGGAAGAATCTGAAAAATCAGGCAAGATTATTCCCAATAAAAATGAACCTGATAAATCACGAGAGTATTATAATAATAAATCTCAAATGCCATTCAAAGATAAAAAAAAAGACATAAATCAAGGCAAAGAATCCAAATTACAAAATGATGAAATAACTGATCAAGTTACCGCTTTGTCTGAGGAAAGAAAAAATTTTTTTTTAGCTATTATTGAAAAGCAAGATAAACTCAACATGAAAGTTGAAAAACATATTGATTATAAGACTGCTAAATTAATATCTCAAATGTTAACCTCTAAGCAACATTTTTCAAAATGTTTTGATTTATATTTATCACAAATTTTACAAGGACTTAGTGAGACAGCTGTAGGAATTCGAAGCAAAGCTATGAAGTGTTTAACACTTGTTGTTGAAGTTGATCCAAGTATTTTAACTCGATTAGATATGCAGAAAGCTGTGCATGGTAGATTACTGGATTGCTCAACAAGTGTTAGAGAAGCAACTGTTGACTTATTAGGCAAATTTATTTTAATTAATCCTGAACTTATAAATCACTATTATGATATGCTTACTGACAGGATATTAGACACCGGGATAAGTGTGCGCAAGAGAGTAATTAAAATTTTGAGAAATATATGTTTAGAACAACCAAGCTTCTCTAGAATTCCAGAAATATGTGTTAAAATGATTCAGTGTGTAAATGATGAAGACGGAGTTAAGAAATTAGTGGAAGAAATTTTTCAAAATATGTGGTTTGAGCCTATTTCAGACAAGAAACCAGAGAAATTACTTCAAAAAGTAAACAATATCATGTGTGTTGTCAAAGCATGTAGACACAATGAATTTGAATGGTTTAAGCAGCTGCTTAGTAATCTGTTGAAAAATAAGGCTTGTAATAATTACAAATCTGTTATCAAGTCAAGTCAGCAAATTGTAGATTGTGTAGTAGAGAATCTTTTGAAATTGGAAGAATCTTCTCAAAATATAGATGGTAAAGCTAGCCCACATCTTTTGGTATGCTTAACCACATTGTACTTATTTTGTAAAGTACATCCTCCATTTGTTGTACCACATGCCACAGTTATTCAGCCATATTTAAGTATGAAATGTACCATTCATTCTGATTTTCTTTTTTTAAAAAATGTAGTACAGATCTTAGAACTGGTCATTCCTCTTATGAAATATCCAAGTGAATTATTTTTGACACAAACAGAGGAAGAAATAGTTAAACTTATTTTTTGCCAGCATGTGAGTTTACTAAAGAGTTGCATTAGTTGCTTAGAAGTTGTAAATAAAGTTACACACAATTATCAGCTTGTTAAAGACTGCTTTCAAAAATTTTTTATTATTCTTTTAGGATACAGAAAAGAGTTTGAGAAAAGTCCAGAAAGTGGAGCCTTAAAATCACTGCGTCCAAAATTACTTCGTTCCCTGTATACAGTAGGATTGTTTTCTCGCTATTTTGATATTGAAGCTATGAATGTAAGTTCTGAGCCCAACATACAAATTTCTCATAAAGATCGTATTTTAAAATGCATTATCTATTTTAGTCAGCATGATGATGAGAATATATGTTTAAAAGCTCTTATGGGACTTGGCTTTTTTATGATTCAACATTCTGAATTTATGCTAAGTAATGAAGTCAAAACTCTCTATCATTACCTTCTAACATCTCCTGTTGCATCTTCTACATTAAAATGTCAAATTTTAAAAAATATCTCAAATTACCTAATAGAAGAAGAAGTGCAAATGATAGAAAAGGAAGCTGAATGGATCAAAACATCAAAAAAAGAAGATTTAAAAGAAATGAATGATGTAACATCTGGCATGTCAAGTACAATTATACAAATATATTTAAAACAAATTCTTGAATGTGTTCTTCATACTGAATTAGCTGTACGTAAAGCATCACTTCAAGTTATTCATCTTATTTTTAAGCAAGGCTTAATACATCCGGTTCAAATAATACCACATCTGATATGCTTGAGTTCTGATGATAACCTGGAGATTCGATATACAGCAGACAAACTGCTTCAGGAGAATGAGAAAAAATATCCAGGATTTACACAAATGAAAGCAGTAATGGGTATGCGAATTTCATTTAAAATGCAGCAACTCGTACATAACCAAAAATTTCTTCGTGGATTTCGAGAATTGGAGACTCCAGTTAGTCGAAATGCTTTTTTGTATTCTGTGTTGCGCTCAAATAGACAAAATAGACGGGCTTTCATTTTATCATTGCTAAAATTATTTGATGAACAGTCCAGAACACCACTGACAGAGCTTTTATATATAGCTGATAATATTGCATATTTTCCATATAAGACACAAGATGAACCATTGTTTATCATGTATCACTCAGATATTATGCTTTCTATATCTGGCTCAAATTTGTTGCAAACATTTCAAGAAGCTTTACTGAACAGACAAAAGCCCCAGAGTATTGAACAAAATCCAATGAATCCTGAAGTAGATGACTGTGATGAAGACGATTTTGATACAATTTTAGAACGGCTTCCAGAGGATATAAGCATTTTGCGGGAATGTATTGCTGCATCTCAAGGATGTAAATTACTTCTGTATCTCAAACAAACTCTTAAAGAAATGTATTGTTTTACTGATGATAAAATTCAGCAGTACTCACCAAATGAAGCAACCATTGTGTATGAAAAGTCATTAAACCGCAAACTGCATGTTCAGTTTCATCCTGAAACAGTGATAAATTTTATTTTAAATGAGGATTTAAAAGACAAATTGGATGCCGAAAGGAGAGAACTTACTCAGCAGTATGTTCATTTCAAACAATTAATGTTGAAGATAGATCCTATAAATTATGGTGATGATAGTAATGAGGCTGAATATGTTGCAGCATGTTCTGCAGCAAAAGAAAGCAATAATAATGAAAATCAAGGGCAGCCTGTCTTGAAGAAAATAACATTTTCACAGAATAAAAGATTTTCTCATAATAGGAGTAAGAGAAAATCCTTTAAAGCAGATGGGAAAAAAGTAAAAAAAGGTAAGAAAAGAAAACGTATTATTACCTCAGATTTGGATGATTCCAGCAGTGATCCAGATTATGTAGTATGACCCACTCATTTGAAGGGGACACTTCCTGCTTTCTCTGGTCAGCTTAAGAATACTTTCAAACAGTCTAGCATACAGAACACACTGTTCTTGATATTGAGAACAAATGGATACATATTATTTATTGCTGATGTTTTGATTCTCAAAATTAATACAATATGAACTTTTATATGCATAATTTTTTATATCACTTGTTATAGTTAGTTAAGTAGCAAGTTTTTAGTTTCAGCGAAGTTTTGTGAAATTTTTTTACGTATCTCTATGAAAAGTTGAATAAGATTTTAAAATTAATTAAAATATGTTTTCATAGTCTTAAAATGTAACAGAAGATGTTTCTTTTTTAGCAGTGTTATTAGTGTTAGTACTTTGTTACATGAGGTTATTTTTCATTTTAAAATGAATGTATTTATTTTTATAAATTTGAATTACATCACCCTTGTGTAAACTGTTAAGAGTAAAAGGCTGGCAGTTTTTTAGTTAAAAAGGTACTTATTTTCCCATCGACCTTATCAGCCATTAAAGTTGGCAGAGGTCTCGCCAAAATTGCAGCACCAGTTTTGGTAGAAGTTTGAATGAAAATAATGCTCTTTATTTAATCAGATAAATCAACAGCTACAAGTTACAAATATGGTATTGAAACCTACAAGCTCAAGTTTTGAGATTATCTGACAGAGAAATTCACTAAAACTAGCACCAATCATTCTGGTAGTCAAACATCTGTAATGGAACACAAAATAATACCAAAACTATCACCTTCTTTATGAACTCGATGCTGCATAAATACACTTAAGTATGAATTTAAATGGTGATGTGTTTTTCCAAAATGTCTTTTATTGCACCATTTCGATGAAGTTTTCAGGCTTACACAAAACCAACGCAAAGTTATTATGAGCTTGTTGCGACGTCATGCATATTCATTATTGGAGATAATTTGCTTGTTTGGAAACTGTCAATGGCAAAATACATAAGTACTGTTAAGAATAATATTATTGGAGATAAATTGCTTGTTTGGAAACTGTCGATGGCAAAATACATAAGTACCGTTAAGAATAATTTTTTAACAATTCATAAATGAAAAATGTGTCAATATGAATAAAATACATTTAATAAAGAAAGAGGGAAATTACTGCATACATATTTTGATAATTATTCTGACAGAAAAACATAGTGATATGTAGTTCAAATCAAGAAACTAAAAATTGTTAATCATAATATATAGATTTTGAAGAATGCTACATAAAGCCATGTAGAACTGTTGCAGAATTATGTAACATAACAATACATAATGAAAGTCAGTAAAATGCTTTCTTTGAATTCAATATTGTTAATTTTTCTTTCAATACAGTTCTAAGTTCGAGATCTAGCCTCTTTAGGACTTATTTTAAATCATCAGTTTAATTCTAGTAAGGTAGCATGTAAACATGTCAACATTGGATCATATTGTTTTGATCAGAGGGGGAAATGCTAATCCCTTCCCCACATGGCCAGAACAGGTGCAACTGGTGCGGCTACAAAAATTAAGGATGGCTGAATTTTCTGGAATTTAGGAAAGATACTGGGCAGTATAATGTAAGGGCATCAGAATTTTTAGGACTTGGAGAGGTACCAGGCCACAGAATTTAGGTCTCGCAGAGATTGCACCAGAATGTTTAGTGCCTCCCCCACATCCACTCAAAGGCCAAAAGTGTGATCCTGGCCAGCATCAATGCATTGTCAAACAAAGCACTGTTATTGACCATGGTGCCGCTTCCCCAATCAGCAGGTATTTAAAAGTGACATGCAGAAATCTTAGTCCAGAGAAAAATTGCATTTATGGCACACCTGCTTTCTTAGGTCTGGATACTATATCAGTCTGGACATTGGACATCTGGATTTCAGACTTTGAACTGTATGAGTTATACTGTATGAAAACACTATTGTAAAAAGTATAATACCTAAAATATTTTCAAAGGCTTTTATTTTCTTAAAGAAAATATGTTTTGCTTTAAAACACTGAATAAAAATGTACTTTCAGATAGTTGAGTTTTTCTTTTTTGCACATAAAAACAGATTGCATTTCTAAAATAACAGTAATATACATTTTTAAATATTAAAATAGAAAGAATACATTTGCTGATGGAGATGACTAAATAATCTAAGGTTCAAATTAAGGAAGTTTACGCCGTAATTTTGGGATAATGCAAGATTTTGACATATCTAAATAACTAAAGTGTCACATGAAGAACATTTTATCTTCATTAATTTTTTTATGAATGTGGTTGGGCATCAACAGAGCTTGAAGTAATGAAAGTGATATGATGTTTTAGGAAGAAGTATGAATTAAGTAACTGAAGACTGTATGTAACATTCTAATAATTTTAAATTAATTTTTTTTAAAGAAAGAGCCTTATTTTTTATATTTTATTCTTAAAATCCTCCCCCTCCCCACCAATGGCCAATTCCTAGCTCAAAAGCATTCATTGGAAATGGCCAAGCATTACTCTGGATGCATTGCTGAGACACAACCAGCCAAGCTTTGTGCCTGAGTCAAACTCGTATTCTTGGTTTCAGGCTAAAGATCAGCCTCTGCTAACCACCATATATGGCACAGAACAGCTAGGTATTGTTAAATAAATTTGAAAAGTAAATACGATAAGCAAGTTGTACAAAGCTATTGTCTGTTCTTTTTTTTTCGGGGGGGGGGGCTTCTGTTTATCTGTAAAAGCAAAAATAGTCAATGTTTTCATCAACTGGAAAAATTGGTACTGTTTCTAAAACAGGAAATTTAAAAAGAAAGCTCGGATTGATCTTTTGAATTGATAGAGTATTCATATTTTAAATAATAAATAAAATACTGACTTAAAAAGAAAGTGACTGTTATCTTTGTATATCTTGCACAAAGCATTTAACCAGGGCTGTGGTATCGATAGGGAAAATGACCGACTCCTTGAATTTTAAAGACTCCGACACTCTCATATATATATATGTAAACATATATACATGGGTTACAGCTTATTTTTTTAACAGAAAAGAATAATAGATGCTACAGAAAAAAGATTATGGCCAGCAAATTATTTATATTAATTAGGCATTTATTTGAAATGGAAAAACTGGCATTAGTTATTTCTAAGAAACAATATAGTTTTGGCAAGATCTTCTTTGTTGGAGGGTTATAGATCCAATTTGTTAAACTTCAGAGCTGAGAAGAGTAAGAGGAACACACTAACTTTAGTAAGAGGAAGAGCTATTACTGTTAACTTTCCAGGATAGATTTTTATAAGTTTTAAAAGAGGTGTCTTGCAAGTGCACATATTTCTCTATTTCTTCAAAAGCCGTGTAGAAATCTTGTTTGTGTTTTTTTTTTATTATTATTATTTTTATATATAACGGCACTTGGTTCTTTATTTTCATTCACTTTTTGCCTTAGCCTTATCAATATTATCCAAAAAGATTTCTCAAAATATAATTCATCACTGGAAGAGGATGATAAAGACTCAATTGCAATGTCTGCAGTTTGATTGTCCTGATTCGAATTCTGCAATTGTTCTGAGAATAATTTCATTCTTAATGAAAGTATTCCTTCTTCACTAAACCCTACATTTCAGAAAGAACAAACATGCTATTCTTCCATTCTCGCCTTCTGTCAATTCTTCAGATTGCAGCTTTTTTTGTGGCTATATACAGTGTAGAAAGAAGAGTTTCCAATTCTGCAAAATCATTTCCACAGTCTTTCTGCTAATGAAACATTAGGGTTACTTACATCTTCTAAAAACGTTCCTAATTCTAAAAACCTCTTTATCATCAAATATGTACTTGCGTGTTGCTTGATCAATAATTGCTCGTTTTCTTGCTCGCTTCATAAGAATGGCATCAATTTTGGGAGTTCTTGCTGCCGTTGCTGTTATCCTAAATTCACCAGATTTAGATTTGTCAGTTTAATCACTAATTTGAATGAATTGGTTTAATCACTAATGCCAAATATCACATCCATCCTCCATTTATTTATTAATATGTCAATAAAATAATAACTCAGCTTGTCATTAATTTTTTTCAATTCATTTTTTTATTTTTAATTCATTTCAAATTCAAACTGTCCAACAAGAACTGGAGTCGGAGTCGACCTCTGTTTTTAGAGACTCCTTTTACCCCAAAATCTGAACGATTCCGACTTCACAGCCTTTCATTTAACCCACATGATGCCTGATGCATTTTTATCAACTTATAGCCTATGTGGTTTTCATCATCCCTCCCTTTACATCCATAACTTCTCTTGATAAATATGTAATTTAGAAGTCACTGCATTGTGTGGTTGTGTGTTACAATAAATATCCTAAGGACTTTTTGGTCTAGGGTAATTCTTGACAACACCATAGGAATAATATTTATTATAAATGATAGTCATAAATTTAAAAAAATGTCCTTACATAATTTTATAGTCAAATTTTTTTAAAAAATGTCGTTACATAATTTTTAAATGGTTTAGATGCATATTCCCTATATGCATTCATTTTATTTTCTTTACAATCACGAATAAGATAAATTTCTAAAATACTTTTAGGTTTTTCGTTGCATTTTGAAGCAAATCCATAAAATTTAGTTATTCATGCTTCATATCATAGTTACAGGTAGAAGTACTATTTCACAGTAGTCATACAGGTATAGTCCCTCTGCACTAACTATGCAGTTTTGAAGAGCAAAAGTGAGATTCTCTCCCACCTCTCTTTTACTACTGTCAATCTCTTGAGAGGATTTTTCCCCTTTATGTATTTTGAGTGCCCCCTTGCCACAGAGACACTATGCCAGAGAGTTCTCAACCTATCTTGCTCTGTGCATCATCCCATTCACAATTGCTAGACCATTCCTTTCCTTTCCGAAACTGGATACATTTACTTAGATTTTCTTAAAATTTTAATCCATTAGATTATCTTATCTTATTAGTGTTTTATGAACTTAAACAACAAGAAGTATAGAAAATATTCATAAATTAAAAAAACTTGAATAAGGCTAGTTTTTTCTGTTTAAAAACTAAATAAGAGGCTGATCACATTACCCCCTCAGTTGAAAACTCCTAGACCATACACTTACAAACATCCATGCCTTCTCCAGGATTTGAACCCAGCCCCTAGTTCATTATGTTTAGCCAGGTTATTTTTCTTATTTAGTCATACAAAATCAAAGAAATTAACAGCTGAAATTTAGTAAAAAGCCTCTGTTTAAATTTCAGATAAAATTCAAACTAAGTGAAATGTGACAGATAATTTAAAAGACACAAAGGATAAATTTATAGAGAAGCTGATGTAATTACAGCCTATTTTGATATTACAACGAATTCACATTATTATGAACTTCCAGATTATGTATTACTTAGATGTAACTCACATGGTACATACTTATCATATATTTATTGTAGGATAAAGCACCATGTTTCTGAAGAAATCCAGTGTTTTCTTTTTCATTAGTTCTTAAACTCCACAGTCCTGTTACGATTTTTTAAGTCAAAAAAAAAAAAAAAACAAAAAAAAAAAAAAAAAAAAAAAAAAAAAAAAACCTTTGGAACTGTTTAATAAATTAATGTTAAATAATAGGGGGACCGGAAAGTAATGTTGCTTTCTTACATTAAATTCAAACGAATAAATTTGTAACAAGTTTTTATTTTTAATCATTAATATAATCACCCTCATTATCAGCAACCTTTTGCCATCTAGTATGCCAATTTCAATCCCAGACCGATAAAAATCAATTGGTTTTTGAGTAAAATATCTTGAGATGGCATTTTGGACATCATCCAAATTTTCAATTTTTTTTTGTCACTAAGAAAATGTTTTGGGGATCGGAATAAATGGAAATCCAAGGGTGCGATACCAGGCGAATAATATGGTGGATGAGGCAGTACCTCCCACCCCAATTCATTATATCTTTCCAGTATTCGTCTTGCACAGTACAGTCTTGCGTTGTCGTGTTGCAGAATGACGCCTTTTTGGGATGTAAAGCCTTTGTAAGCCCTATTAAAACTGCCTTTTGCGTTTTGGATTATCATATAGGACTTATTTTTTTGACTCCACTAATGAAACGATCAAAAAGCTGTTCTGTATGGTGCCGTTGAAGCAATACGTTGCATGTGATTGATGGATTGGTTGGCTTTGTTCTCTTCGGACAGATTATGGGGGACTCAAACACCTGCTTTGCTTATTTTTCCATTCTGCTTTAAATGTTCTTGGATGGTTGATCAAGGTTGGCTAAGAGTGTTTGACGTGGATTTGCTTCCACTTCTGCCCTTAGCATGTAATCATCGACATGCGCAGAAACGACATTACTTTCCGATCCCCCTATTATAAAGTGTGTAAATCTACGTGCATGCATGGGTTGGTAATAGTCATATGTGTACTTGAAAGTATACCCAAAAACTCAGAAATTCTATTGAATGTTGACACTGGAGGTTGCAGATAATCGAAACGTACCAATGGTTTTAATATAGACAGAATGGTTTGTTTTTTAAACTTTTACTAGATACAGTATGTTTTCGAATGTGATACACGAAGTGGTGGGGTAAGAGCTAAATAAAACTTATTCAAAGCCAACATCATAGGTTCAAAGAAACTCCAATATTCATCAGAAAATATAAAAGCATTAAAATATAAAATTTATTATTAAAATTAAAATTATTACAGCATTAAAATTTTAAGCTTGTAAAAATACTTTTTTCAATGTGTTAGTTGAACAACAAAGCAAAGATGGCAATTGAGCTTTATAAAAAGTGTTTAGAAAAACCAATTTTTTAGGGGGGAAAAAGGGGGAATTTATTCTTGTAATAGATAATGGTGCTGCTCATATGAAAGTTTTTAAGCTTCTGGCAGTATAGATTGAATTTCTTTCTACAGTATAACTATTTTAAATGATATTATAGGGAATTGCTTTCGAAAAGGTTATTTTGTGCATGAAATTTTAAATTTCAGATAAAATTCAGAAAAAATATAGTTGATGCAATGCATACATCAGTTAATACGTAGCAAAGCATCTCCCAAGATATGATAACCAATTCATTCTGACATGCAGAGCTTGTTAAAAATACAAGTACTGCAGTACATGAAATGGGGAAGAATGATTTCTGATCCCAGTGTTAATGAAATCTTGATAAACACAGAAGATATGTAACCATGTACAGAATAAATATTCGATCAAGAAATCATTGAAGAACTGTTGAATATCATCAGAGGATGCTCCTGCAAGGAAGAAGAATGTATAGAGGCCATTCCAAGATCTACATTTAACAAAGCAGAGAACTGTTCTCAACATTTGCTGCTGTCTTCAGTCGAAAGCACTTAATATCATATTGCTTGATGATTATAGTAAAAATGACAACTTGTAAAATTTACATTTTTAATAATCTGTTATATAAAATTATTTCACATTATACATACAAAATGAATGAATAGGAACATGCAAATGCTTCATCCTGTATTTATATGATATTAAAATATTGAATAAAATATGTAAATAATCAAAAGAAAACTATCTGCAATAAACATAAAATTGATCACTTTTACATAAAATATAAATTTGCTGCAACATACAATGCTATAACAATCAAGAAATAAATTACCTATGAATCAGATGTAATTATATTTATTATAACTTTTTTAATTATGTGAAAATCATTACATCATTTCCTCTTGATTAAAAGTGATAGTGTTCCATAATTTAATCTTCAGGATTACTAAAACCCACACGTATTACTAAAACCACAATAAATATTAAAATCTCAGTTTATACATATAAACTAAATATATTAAATAAAATGAAAATAACAAATTAATAAATTTTGTGAACTGGTGTAATTGTAAAAACTTAAAATTAAAGCATATATATGTACACATGAGAACATACACATACAAAGATTACATAATATATTATTTTATAATAAATCACATTTATAGGTATATCATAAACAAATTATTTTGCAACAGTTTTTGCTTTCAAATTTTCCTTTTCAATTTCTGTCAACATTGAGTCCCAAAGAATAAATTGTTTAGATAATGAAGTAATCTAATAAAGACAGTTAAGGATTTATCATATAATTTTATAAACATACCATTTTTAATAAAGTAATTTATTTATGTCTTTCATTAAAAACATTTTATTAATAGTTTATTATATTTTGAAACTCTTATGCAATACTGATAGAAAGTCTTCACCTTGAAAATGTTAAAAGATGAAGCATACATAATTTAACCCATTTTCTATAGCATTTTTAGTTAATTTACTAGTGCAATTTTGCATTAAAAGGTATCTGGTATTAAAAACAGTGCTGTGAAATTGGAGCATGAAACATCTGAATCTCTAATTTTTTTTTTAACCACTTGACTAATTCCAATAAATATGGGCACTAAGCACAATAATTAACAGTCGGCTGCATGATAACAGAAGGACACTGTATTAGGTATTTTTTCATGCAATTATTAAATATGAATCATCAAGTAATGTTTTTGACTAATCTGCAAAGTTTAAGTGCAATGAGATTATACTTTACAATTATTTGTTTAGCCTTTACTGACATAAAATGGTCACTGAAAAGCAATCAAAATTCATTGAATGAAATTATAAAAATATAAGAAATACACATTAAAAATATAACAAGAATGAATCAGGCATAGTATTTAATGCTATTTAATCTAAGGAGCATTTTTTTACAGATCTTTAAGAGGTGTTATCTTTACATAAGTTTTCTTTATACAATTTTATTATTAATTTAATAGGTTGCAAATCATCACAATGACTTAAATCATCAGAAAAAATATATTACATAAGATAAAATATGTCTTGTAGTTTTGCATTCGTATTTGCCATGGAAGCTAAAAGTAACATCAGCCGGACTAATGCTTATAAGTTCAAGCATGAAATAAGTGTTGGTACATGGCACAGACATGATGGAGAAGTCGGCAAAATAGATCAACCCGATAAATGATATATGACATATTTATATATATAAGTGATATTTGGTTGATCAGTAAGTGATGTAAATCATCTTCGTTATTCTGGTGCCTGCATGTTCAATTTTGCAATGCTTAATCGCCATCAGTTCCTCAGGTATGTGTAAGGATAATATTGGCCAACTAGCGCTACTGGATTGTTCTGGGGTCGAAGCCTGCATGACAACTATTCAGGTTGTTCAGCAGAAATGAAATGACCTCAGAATTATAATTAAGGTTTCTTGAGTTGCTAAATGATAGAGGAAGTATTCCTGATAGAGTTCTCAACTGTGAATGATATGCATGTCTGAAGTGAGCAAAATCCTTTTAATTTAATGTCTTAAGTTTTATGGAATCTTTTTTGAGGGGTATTATAGTCTCAATAAAACAGTCTATATTAAAATTTGAATACAAACAAGTCAGTGTTTCTGTAAACGTCACTCAGCATATAAATGTCAGATTGTAGAAAAATGTCAAATAACATTATTTTACTAATTTTGATCAATTTTATGTTTATGAGGTATAGGGTGTTCCTTGTAAATCTTTTAGTCCTAAATAGACAATACCATTGACTCAAAGGAATTTATTGTATTGTTTTTGATATTTTAGAGTAGATTTGATAAAAATGTTTGCTAAAATCATGTACAAAAACAAACATTTTAAATTAGGTGCTTCTTGACCTCCCCAAAGAATTACACCTTTTAATCCATTTCAAGTAAAGTTTCTACTCATTTCTGAAGTTAAAATGGAAAAAGATATACCTGCAAGACTACAAATTCAACCAACTTAAAAGTACAAAATTTGTACAGTTTTTTACAATTTTGCACAAAATGAGTTTAAGAGGTTTCAAACATATGATCTAAAATGGAAGTAATTAGTTGTGTTCTTATTTATAAATTAAATGGCAGTTAAAGAGTTACAGAAATTTAGAATATTTAGTGCCACTGTAACATCTACTTGTTGTCTCAAATTTCTTTCTCAAAAGTAAATAAGTACAAAGTTCGAAATCTGGACGTCCAATATACAGACAGAAATTTAGAATATTTAGTGCCACTGTAACATCTACTTGTTGTCTCAAATTTCTTTCTCAAAAGTAAATACAGTACAAAGTTCGAAATCTGGACTTCCAATATACAGAATGATCTAAAATCTGGACGTCAAAGCCACCAACTAGTTTTTCCTTAAATGCTTTTGTATAGGCATTTGATTTTTTTCCCTTCCCACAATAAAACGTACAGAGTCCTGATTTTTAATTTAACTTCGGCACTAAATAAAATATCTCACTATTGAAGAAATAATCATTTTAGCATAAATTTATGTGATCAATAATTTGGCCCCATAGCTGCAAATTTGCTGGGCATACATTTCAAACAAAAACATTCTACATAGAAATATCCTTGATTTTACACCTACTAATATTACAGCCCTGATGCCAAACTAGCGAATCATTATTTATTATATTTTGCTTTCATCACTGCATATTTATAAACACATAACAACTTGAGTAATGATTCATACAGTAATGACTAAACAATTTTTTTAATTAGTAAGTGAATAACAAAGAGTATGGTAACCTTTTTTGTTGACATGCTGATGAAAAATTTAACAAAAATTTCTTTCCATATGCTAAAGATAGATTTTTAAAGACCAAAAGATTACATTTAGTGCTATTTGAATTAAATATATAGCAAATTTAGGCAAGACAAAATTTTGGAATTTGGAGAAGCACTGAAAAAAATTAAGGGACGAGAAAATTTTAGAATTTAGGGAAAGCACTGGGCCCAAAACTTAAGGGCAGCAAAAATTTATAACCTAAGGAGGTGACTGGTAGCAGAATTTAGGATCCGCACAGACTGCATGAGAGAGTAAGATATGTAGCGAAGGCCCTCAATAAGCTTTCAGTATATGTGGGAATTTATTTACTCAGGACTCTAAGCCTTAAGCATGTGCAAAAAAACTAGACTAAGTATAATAAAATGCAGCTTAGGCGTAATTGTCTCAATGCACGATAAAATCAGGACAAAATTTAGAGAAGCAGCTTGGCTTTCATCGCCAATCTCATGATACATAGCCAATAATGTATCGCAGCTGCTATTAAGCTAAGGTAAAATTATACATTGCTGATTCCAAGAAATTTCAGCTAATATAGTAGATAGTACTATTCCTTAACTTTCTGATTTGATCCAGCTTATTATTTTTTGCAGACTGTTAGAGCAATTTCATAACAATTAAGCTTGAACTTTCGATTAGGTCAAAAGAGTTTCTTATTCTGGAGCTGCAACAGAATCTACAGAGTGAGAGCATGTTTTGATTTCCATTAAGCAAAAAGTGGAATTGCTGCAAAAAATGGATAAATGTAAATCCATCTCAATATTATGCAAGGAGTATGGCATTGGAAAGTCAACTGTATATGACATAAGAAAACAGAAAAAGGAATTTTTTGTATTTTTTTGTGGATTCCGACACCCCACTCGTAATGAATAATAGAAAAATTATTCATTATGCTAAAAGTGACGATCACGACAAAGTGATGATTGAATGGGTCAGATAGTGTCAAAGCGACAGCGTGCCACTGACAGGTCCAATGCTAATGGCTCGAGCTAAAATATTTCACGAAGAAATGAACTTAAAAACTGAGTGCACATATTTGACAAGTTGGTTAACCAAATTTATAAATGGCCATGGTATAAATCAATTAAAAATTTCAGGTGAAAAAGCTTCAGCTAATACTGAAGCTGCTGAACTATTTGCAAATGAATTCATTGAACTCATTAATAGTGAAAGGTTAATTTCAGAATAAATTTACAATGCTGATGAAATTGGTCTTTTCTGGCAATATGTACTGCAAAATATTGGGTTGGAGGGAAAGTTCTATCGTATTTTAAAAAATATTTGAATTCATTTATAAAAATATGTGTTTAATATTAATCAATTATATATGCTCCGTTATTTGTTACAGCCTGTTGCCATCTTCCAGGTAACCTGTAAATTCCTGTTTTGTGGAAGTTCTCATCCATGGAGTTAAAATAGTCAGCAACTGCCTTAGAAACACTTTCAAAAGACTTGAATTTTTTTCCCGTTAGATAATTTTGCAGAGATCTGAACAGGTAATAATCAGAGGGTGCAATGTCAGGTGAATATGGGGGGTGACTAAGGATTTCCCATCCTAACGCATTCAGTTTTTGTAGTGTCACCACTGCAGTATGCGGGCGAGCATTATCGTGATGGAACACTATTCTATTCCTTTTCTGGACGCTAATGCTGGCCTTTTTCTTTGATAGCTGCATTCAATTTATCCAGCTGATTGCAGTACAGATCCGCGGTTGATGTTTTTTCCCTGTTTCAGCAGCAACTCTTAATACACTGGACCTTTCCTGTCCCACCACAAACAAAGCAGTACTTTTTCGTGATGATGGATACTTGGTTTTTTTGGAACTGTTGCTGATGATGTTCCTGGTTTGCAGTAAGATTTTTTTCTTTTAATATTCTCCGTAAAGAATCCACTTTTCATCTCCAGTAACCAGCCTGTCCAAAAATGGCTCCACATTGTGTCTAATCAGATGTGATGAACATATTCTTACACGATCAGACAAATTCTTTTCCGTTAATTCATGTGAAACCCAAACACTTTGCTTTAACACAAACCCAAGAGATTTAATGTGATCTCCAACAGTTGTATGATGAATGCCAAACTCTTCTGCAATTTCTCAACTTGTTAAATGTGGATTATTTTCCAACATGGATTGCAAAACAGCATTATCGATCTTGGATGGTCGTCCACATCGAACACTTTCTTTGAGGCTCAGGTCCCCGGAACGAAATTTGCTAAACCATCTTTGACAAGTACGAACATTTATAATATCTTTTCCAAACACCGCACATAAATTTTTACATGCAACAGATGCGTTGCTTCCTTTTTAGAATTCATATAAAATGCAGTGTCGTAAATGCACTTTATCTACGGACATGTTTTTCCCTTTAAATATTACAAGTAAATGATGAACAGTAAAAAAGGGCACCTTTTATATTATACAGCAGCTAAAAAAGCAAAAAAAAAAAAAAAAAAAAAAAAATCCGATTGACTCACTGGCAAGATGTTTTTTTTATTTACAAGAAAAATCACCTGCCTATTTAGAATATGACAGAACTTTCCCTCCAACCCGATACCTTGGCAACCTCTACAGAAAAGATTCCAACTGGTATAAAAGATTCTAAAGCGAGACTAACAATTTTAGCACGTGCAAATGCTGCAAGAATGCACAAGTGTACACCTTTTGTAATTGGAAAAATAAACGACCTTGAGCATTTAAAGGAATAAAGATTTTCCCCATTATGCTTTGTGCAAATAAAGAGCATGTATGACACATGCATTAAAGAATAATTGGTTTGAAAATCATTTTATGCTTGAAGCTCGGCAACATTTGAATTTGGTTGGTTACCTGATAATGCAAAAATTGTCCTGATTGCAGAAAAATGTTTGGCACATATTTAAAAGTTTCGTGAAAGATAACGTATCCATATTATTATCTCCTCCAAATTGTACGTCCATCATTCAGCCTATGGATATCGGAATAGTGTGTGTGCTGAAATGCAAATATAAAGTAGCATTTTTAAAATCCGTTTTAAGTTTCTTGAATAATGGCAAGACATTTCAAGAATTTTTGAAATATTTTAGCATAAAATCTGCTGTATGGAGCATCCATCACAAGATCGCAGGAAGATGTGTCCCCAGATACCTTAAAAATACTTGGCATAATTTATAGCCAGCTGCCGTATTTTATGGTAAGGATGATGAAGATGATAATCGCTAATTTGAAAATTTTGGGATATCACAAACAAAGGGAGAAATTTTCCAATTGATGGATTTTGAAAGAAATGTGGAGAAACGCTAATAAAGGAAGATGTTACAGTCAAAAGTCGTTAATCCGGACCTCAAAGCTACAAACTATCTGCGCATGCGTTGCTTTGACGTATGCCCGTAAGACCTTTACGGTTGCGAATATGCGTGTGCGCATGCGCATAATATGTTTACGCTTGCGTGTTTAATGTATAATGGACGGTATAAGCTAAGCTAAAATTATCTAATTCAGTTAATGCTGCAGATTGCGTTGTTTCTTAATCTTCGAATTGGATCCAGCTTATTATTTTTTGCAGACTGTTAGAGCAATTTTATAAAAGTAAGCTTGAACTTTCGATTATGTCAAATAGAATTTCCGATATATATTTACTAATATGTAAAGGATCTACAAAGCGAAAGTATGTTTCGAAGTCCATTAAACAAAAAGTGAAATTGCTGCAAAAAATGGATAAAGGCATATACTTTGTTTATCTAACCATTCCCCGGGGGGGGGCAGCGCGCAATGAATTGGAAGTTGATCTGTCAGCACTATCCTTATCTTCAGGGCAGATGTTTTTATTTTATTTGGCTTATAATTCCTTATTAAATGTAGTATTTCATCAACATCATTGCAGTATAGCAAAGGTTTCAGGGGTGACATCTCGACAGGCATTGTCATGAAGAATGCTTATGACCTTGCTCAGCATTCCCTTTCTGAGTTTCTTCAGTGTTTCACAGTAACTGTTAACTTTTATTGTGGTCCCAGCAGGCTGAAAGTCGACCAACAATACCCCCTTCTGGTCCCAAAACACAGTTGCCATGACTTTATTGGCAGACTATATTTGTTTGAATTTTTATGACTTGGCCAAAAAGGAATGCCACCACTTGTATGACTGCTGTTTGGTCTTAGGTATAAAATGCAATGCCCAGGTTTCATCACCCATGATAATTGGGTCCAATTGGGCTTTTCATCAGCACAGCGGTGAAGAGATTCATGGGAAGGATCGAGTTGTTGCCATTTGTGGTCTGTCAGTATACGCTGTAACCATCTTGCACAAAACCTTTCAATATTGCAACTATTCTGTTAGATGGTGTATATGGTGCTTCGAGAAACTTCAAAACTCAACATGCAGAGAGCATTCAGACTGATCCTCTGATCTTTATGTTTTTTTCAACCTTAATGACTGTCTCATTGGATATGGAAGGTCTACCACTCTTTTACTGGTTGTGAATTTCCGGCTGTAAACTCTGTACACCCCTTGTGAACATTTTTGACATCCATGCACGACTGTCCATACACTTCTGTCAACTGGCGATGAATTTCAACTGGTTGAACACCTTTTACATTAAAAAAACAAATACAATACAAAGTCCGAGATGCGGACTCATCGGGACTTCGGTGATCCCTAAATCTAGTAAGATGGCATGTAGAAATTATAAAATTTAAAATATGAAATCATAATTTATGAAATAATGAAGAATTTATAATCTATACGGTATCAAAATTTACAAAAAATGGGGGGGCTTAATCTGTTTGTTTTTACTTTTTAAACATTTCTTTCAAGTTGTTTAAGTTGCTATATTTTTTGTGCTAATACTTTCTCTTTAATTCTATAAACAGATATAATTTCTTGTTCAGTTACTAAGTTCCATTGTTCAAGTTCTGTAACTGCTGTGTCGAGAATTACGACAAACCTGTCAATTGAATGTTTTTCTTTTTCAGTAACCTTTCTGTCACTTTCTTCACTATCAGTAGCGGTATTTTCTGGATCTAGAGCCATACAACAGATTTCGCAGTCCGTTAATTGATCGATGATTGGGGCATTTTCATCTCAATGAAAAACTTCTGTTAACTCCTTCTCTTCCCTAAAATTCTTCTGCTTGGTGCAGCCATGCAAGCTCTGGTTTCATGTGAATAACAAATCAATTATTCCTAATTCCAATAGCACTAAATGTAATCTTTTAGCTTATCAATTTCATTAACAAAATCTATTTTTAGGATATGGAAAGAAATTTTTGTTATATCTTTCCTCGTCAACATTTCTTAGCGCATTTAACTTAAATCTGTAATCTGTAATCCTTTTGTTATCCAATTACTAGTATTAAAAAAAAAAAAAAACTGTTTAGGCATGGCTGCATGAGTCATCACTCAATTGGTCATGTGTTGATAAACATGCCATGACAAAAGCAAAATTTAATAAATAATGATTCACTAGGTTGGCACCAAGGACATAAAATATTAATTGGTATAAAATCAACAATGTTTCTATGTAGAATCTCTCAATCTGAGATGTATGCCAAGCAGATACGCAATTGCGGAGTCAAATTATTGATCACACAAATGTTTGCTAAAATGATTATTTCTTCAATAATGAGGCATTTTATTTAGTGCCAAAATGAGATTAAAGATCAGGACTCTCCACATGTTTTATTACAAGGATGAAAATGAATTGCGCATGCATAAAGCATACCCCCCCCAAAAGAAAATTGGTTGTTGGTGGCTTTGAAGTCCAGATTTTGGATCATTCTAAATATTGAACATCCAGATCTCAGACTTTGTATTATAGTTGGGTGAACTTTACACTTGGCAGTAGCAACGGAAGCTACATTCTGAATGGCTGCCAAGCCAAGACTGAGCATCCCAGTGAAGGGTGTGCATGCTTATCTGGAAGTGCAGGAAGTACTACCCACAACATTGTGTCCAATAATCATACTAATAGTTCACTACATCCCCACAAAATAAGAGACTTTATTTTTGAGACTGCCCTCATACACCATATTTATATATTATAAAATAAAATGCCACACCAAAAAAGTGATAAAGATGAAACAGCTGATATTCAACAATGGCTATTTCACACTATTAAGAATAATAAATCCTCTCAGCAGCTGTGTGTCTTTAATCTTACAGCCACTGATAGGATTTATTATTCTCAGTTAAAGAACATATATGTGTATGAAACAGTCAGTCAAATAATTTTGACACACAATTAAAAATAGATTTTCTCCACAGAAAAGATCTAGAAAGGATACAAGGTTATTGTAATTTGCAAGCAGAGTTTTAGTTTCTTCCGCTAATTTTGAAACCTCTTCCTACAAATTTAAAAATATGCTTTAATTATTTAAGTGTCAAAAATATACTGATATGAAAACATGTTTTAGAATTTCTAAATTGTTTTGTAAGTAGATCAAGTTGTTGACTAAATTTATTATAATTTAAATAATGTAAAAAACTAAATTTCAACTAACAAAAATATTACATAACATTAAAAAAATAATAGCAGAAATATTACAACATTGTCAAAGCCATAAAAATGTTAAACGAAACTCATTCTGTTGTTTGGTGCAACAGTTTCATTCCTCAAAGAATATGATCTTAAACTAAACTACAAGAGGTTTCAAAGAAAAGGGATTGAGATAAACAAAAATTTATCTGGCTTGTGAGTATGAAATATCCTTCACATGTCTGTGTGGGCTAATTTGTTTCTATTTTCAGTTAATGAAATAAGCAAAGATTTGCATTTTAATTTTTAAGGGAATTTAAGGATTCTATTCAAGAAACTTTAAACTGAGCAAAAAATTCAGTTAAAATCATTCATCCCCTTTACTATGCTTGTAAAAATATCTATTATTTTATTTATTTTTTAAATGTTAATTGCTTATACATAGATAGGGTGATCAAATATGAACGAGCTTTTATTGGCGAGACGGGTACTTGTATGTGTTTAAACAGGTGAATTAAATAAATTGCCTAGAGTAAGGGAAACCCAGCAGCTGGCTTGCCCTATGCTTTATTTAGTAGTCCTTATGATGGGTGATAGGAGTGTGTCTGTCTCTATTGAGCAAAGCATAAAGTTTCTCATCCATGAAAATATGAAACCAGCTGAAATTTACTGCAGACTGCATGCCCAGTTTGTGGACGCTACCCTTCCATGGTCAAGAGTGAAGGTTTGGTGTAACGAATTCAAGCAAGGCTGTGATCAGATTGCAAATCAAGGTCATCCTCGTACCAGTGTGACTAATGAAAACACTGCATGTGTTCGTGAGCTTATTGAATGGGACTGATGCTGCACAGTGCTTCAAATTTCAGAAGAACTTGGTGCCAGCTATAGAAGTGCCCTATCAGTCATCAGAAAGTAGTTCGGTTTCAGAAAAATCTCAGCTCATTGGATTCCAAAGTTACAGAATGATGATCAAAAAGCTGCACGAGTTCGCATTTTTCAATTGCTTCAAACTTGTTTTAAAGAAGAAGAGGAAGTTTATAATTGTTACCTGCGATGAGATGTGGATGCATCACTACATCCGCCAATCAAAGATTGCAAGCATGGAGTAGAAAAAGAAACTCCATGAAACCCAGAACTACACTGGAGTTTGTACAGTATAGTTCTGGGGAAAGTATTCTTCTTGTCTGAAAGTGTTATCTAACACTTTCTCCACAGACAAGGGGACTGGAAGAAGTCCTACTGGAAGATTTCTTACTTGGATGTCAGACCATCAATGCAACTTACTACTGAGTCTCTTGGATCAAGTTAGGCTTCAGTGTCGATGCAAAAGACAAGATTGTACTATCCGCCAGGTGTTGATCCTCCACAACAATGACAAATCACACACAGCACGTATAACGCAGCAGAAACTAGTGGAAATGTACTGGAAAATGCTTGATAATTCATCTTACAGCCCAGACTTATCACCATGCAATTTTCACATGTTGGATCCTCAAAAAACCACATGAAGGCAAGCTATTTGAGACCAACAATCAAGTGAAAACATTTGGGTGCGGCTGGTTAGATACCCAACCAACTTCATTCTACAAGAATGGAATGAAAAAATTACCAAAACATTGAGAAAATTATATCATAAAAGGGAGATATTATTTAGTAAAATAATTTATAGAAATGCATATGTTTCCTATGAAATAAATTTTATTTAAACAAAAGCCTTGTTTATATTTGATTCACCTTCGTATATTATAACAACATGGGTGCATGTCGATAGAGAAACTCCTGTGCTCTTGGGAACAAACTCCAGTATACATTGTGGGTTCAGTGAAAGAGTTGTTAAGGCAGTGTATCTGTTATTCATATTTAAGAGTAGGAAATGAGGGTGTTTGTCTGCAAAATGCTGACAGAATAAGACGTGTTCGATTGTCAGAAAGCTGCTATCTTTCCCCTTCTGTAATAATGCTGTAGTGTTACTCTTTTAGTTTGATCCCGGAAATTTTGCAACATCACAGCTAAAATTTATTGGTGGCAGTGGTGGGCTATGAAATTCACATGAGCAGTTTGGCAATTAAATGAGAACTCTTACATTTTACTCTAAAAAGGCATCAGTCTGGGTAAAGGAGAGTACCGTCAGGCTCCGAAATACACCTCATTTTTAGTTTTGCGAGACAGTCAGTATCTGAAGATTTTTCAGCATTGTTAAGTTTCATGGAACTGCCAAGTGTCCACAAATGTTTTAGTGAAGAGAAGAGAACTGCCAGGCTTTGAAATTCAGTTCATCTTAAATTTTGCTGGACAGTCAGTGTCCGAAGATCTTCAGCATCATCTTAGAGTGTGGAACCAGCAATGTCCAAAAAGCATGTGCATTGTAAAAAGGGCTTTAAAGTGTACATAAGCTTACATCAGCATCCATAAAAATTTTAAGTTGTGATATACATCTACAGGTTACAGGTCAACCAGATTGCTAGCACTATTCTAACATAGGTATTTTGACACAAAATCAGACTTTTTCTGAAATAACATACCAATTTTTTAACATATTTCGATTCTAAGACTCAAATTATGCCAGACTGCAAAATTTTGTAAAAATCGCATGAGTAGTTTTTAAAACATTAGCTTTCAAAATTTTCGCTCCTCAATGTTAATTGAATTTGGTTTATATTTATTAATATCTCTTTTTTCTGAAACATTTTTCATTCTTCTTCTCGCATTTCAAAATTTAAGTTCATTCGAAATAAAATTCACACATTTTTTATGATTTTTTTTTTTTTAAATTTGTATTTTTAAATAATTTTTATAAATTTTTTACCCATCATCTTAAAGTAGGTGTATTTCTAAGCATACCTGCAAAAAAATAGTTTTGTATTCAGAATTTTCTAAGATATACATGAATTTACATATTTTCTTGTTTTGAAATTTGGCATCTTTTTTTGAGCGATTATGGATTTTGTTACAGTGAATTGCCACAGCTATTTTTAACCTTAAATTTTAAATAATTTTTTACCGAGAATTGAAATTTTTTCCTTCAATGATGCGTAATAAATATTTATTAATGCTATATGAAAAGCTATTTTTTTTAATTACAAATGATATTCAAATTTTTAGCTTTTTTTTATTTATATATATAAAATATATATATATATATTTAAATATTTGTAAGAGTAAATTTTTACCTTCGCCCATGTTTTCGTCTGCTACTTTACTTTAACTGCATTTAAATTGATTGTCTAAAACTGAAAAATTCATTAGATGTTTATTTTCACAATGTTTTTAAGCAAATAGGACATTGACAGTTTGTGTCACGTCCCAGATTTAAAAAAAATTTAAATAAATTTTTACATTAATCCTCTTAGAAAGAATGTTTTAAGTATTAATTTTCTCTCATGTTGCAGATTATATAAAAACATGTTCTTTAATATAGAAATTATTAAGCTTTAAAATTCTAAATAATAGGATTTAGATTGTCTACACCCAATATAAGTTTCAGTTTCAGTGTGTGATTATGGCAAAGCCTTGAGGGCTATCTGCCTAAGGGTTGGGATTCCTTCGTGGAGGACTTTCTAAGGGGAACCGGCTCGTATACACGTTACACATGGGGAAAACCACGAAAACGTCCATGCAGCCAGCCCGTTCACGGGATTCGAACCTCGGACCGAACTACCAGTGTTCAGCGACTTTAACGCTCGGCCGCTGGTAAGCCGCACCCGATATAAGAATGGGGCCTCTCAGTGGTACAGGATAAGTGCTGCTGGAGTGGTTTCCTTCTTTCACATTTAATAAAAATCTTTTAATTCAAATATTTATCCTATGGACTTTGATTTAAACTTTTTTTATAGTTAAAATGTCTAGAAAATGAAAAGCTATCTTCAGCTGAAACGCATTTGATGCAACGGATATTTTAAAAAATTTGGCAAGAATGCAAAATTTATGGAAGTGTAACAAAGATCTTAATTTTCTTGTGTCAGCACTGAAAACATGTAGAAATAAAGAAGGAAATTGGGGGGGGGAGCAAAAATTTAAAGGAGAAATTTTCAGTTGAATGTGTTACAGGAAAAAATTAGAAACTCCTTGTATCTTAAACTGCTGTTATATCAATATTTAGTTATGAGCAGTTATATATTTAAATTTACCTTTGAATGTATACTTTAATATAAATCTAGAAAATTTTGTTGATCTGAATGCAAAGTGTAATGAAATCTAGAAAATTTTGTTGATCTGAATGCAAAGTGTATTGTATTATCAGAAATCCTGAAGTTGACCAATTACAGTTGATTGTATCTTGTGCATGTTATAGCGTAAATTGTCTTGAATTTGTGTTTTAGATCAGTTGAATTTGTTGCGAGGAAAAAGGTTAAAAGTTCAATTTTGCTTCTCTTAGTTGAAATTGTTGTTTGTTAAAAAAAGGGGGGAGGATTTGTCAGATTGTGATTATACTTCTATCATGGCATTTTTAGCAAAAGCTAGAAAAGAGGATCTTACATTGTTGGCTGAAGAGTTACGGAAAAAGGTATGACCTGAACTTAGGATAATGGATCTAACACAGTTGATTATGAAAAGTAGACTGTTAAATAAAGCCCACAAGGAATAACCTTACAAGGAGTTGACTGTGAAAAGTCTGTTGGAAAATATCACTTCAATGAGGTTTGAGAGGAAAAACAAGAAACAGGATATGATTAAAGAGGAAGAGAAGAAGGACAGATTTAAAAGAGAACAGGAAGAGAGGAAAGAGAGTTAAATTAAAAAATCTGATGTGTACACTACATGACTTCCTTGTACGGAATATTAAATTATACGCATTTTTTCTTGCATTTCATTTAAACTTATTGGATTGAATTAAATCTACTTCGCCGACAGCGCATAAACCACAATAGA